TTTGTCACCCTTGACCTCAGAGTCACAGCTGTATACACCTTTCATGTGCATGACTCAGTGTGGGCTGTCCCTTCCTTTCCCCTGAAGAGATGCTCGCCCTGCTTTGGGAGAAGAGGGGATACTTGGTTAGCAATGCATGAGCTAAAATGCACCTTTTCTATTGCGCTAATGTTCACACACTGTAAGATGGCAAAATAAGGCCCTGGTTCCCCAAAATACCCATGTTCTAATTCTTGGGACCTGCAAATATGTCTGTTATATGGTGAAAAGGAATTAAGGTTGCTAGTGGAATTAAGGTTATTAATCAGCTGATTTTAAAATAGGAAGATTATCCTGGATTATTGTGGCAGACCCACTAAAATCAGGGGGTTCTTTAAAGGTGGAAGGAGGGGCAGAGTTAGAGGTCCAAGTGATGTGAAGAAAGACAGGCCTAACCAGCTGTGGCTGGCTCTGGAGATGCAGGAAATCTATGTACCAGGGAATGTGGTCTCCAGAACTTCCAGCCTCAAGAAGCCAGAGAGGGAGAGGAAAGCCTCTCTCCAGCAGCCACCAGAAAAGGGCATAGACTGGTTGGTCCTTGGATTTTAAATCAATGAGACCTGTGTACAGCTTCTAACCAAAAGAACTGTGTGCTAGTAAACTTGTATTGCTGTAAGCCACTTAATTTGTGGCAGTTTGTTATAGCAGCAACAGGATACTAATACCCACCCACCTCAGCAGATCTGCCTGGCACCCTCCTAAAACTCTGTCTCTCAGTTTAAAAAGCCCATTGCTCTATTCCAGCTTTGCTAGTTAATTCAATAAAATTTTTATTAGTGAGCCCCTGTTGCATGAAAGGCACCATGCTAGGTCCTAGAAATACACAATGAATAAGAAAGACCCAGGCTCTTTCATTCCTCAACAAATATGCATATACTCAAACTCTGCATTAAATGTGGCAGAAATGGAAAGAAAATAGTCCTCGCTATGGTGGCTCAAAGGCTTCTGAGAAGACAGTCAACATAAATATCATGATTTGACACAGTAAGTACATGGCATAGGAATTGTTACGATTTACACTTAGATGCCTCCCAAGAACTTCATGGTTTGGACTTTTGGAGGAAGTTTGGATTATGGAACACTGGTTGACCTGCTTTTTCAGATGTGGGGTCTTGTTGGAGGAGGCTAGTCACTGCAGGTGGGTCTCAGAAGGATTTATGTCTTTCCTTGGCTCCTCCCTTCTCTCTGCTTCCTGGCTGCTGTGAAATGAGCAGCTTTCTTCCGCCATGCCTTCCTGAAATGGAGCCTATGGACTAAAGCCATAAGCCAAAATAAGACTCCCTGGCTTGAAGTTGAAGGTTTAGTTCCAGAAATGCAGAAAGTGACAATAGGAGTACAGAAGAGAACCACCAAACTCAGCAGGATGGCATCAGAGAATCTTCAGAGAGATGCAGCGGAGCTCAGATGAAGAACGGTCCCTAGGCAGATCAGATGTGGTATGCAGCTCAAGAGCTCTGGAGGTATCTGACACTGGAAAGGCAGCTGGTGCAAATGAGGATCAGAATTTTAAATGTCACTTCATTTTTATTGCCTTTAATTGAAATGGAAGTAGCCACATGTGACGGTAGGCACACATGACTGCCTCCACACTGAACAGAGCAGAACGTTATTTTGGCTCACAGTTTCAGTCCAGGATCAGCTGGCCCAGAGCAGACGCAACATGGTGGAAGATGTTGCTGTGGAGAGAAACTGCTAATGTCAGGTGGCTGGAAGTGGAGAGAGAAGGGAGGAGCCAGGGAGGGAGAAATGCCCTTCCAGCCCCAGCCTCTTCCAACCAGACACTGCGTTCTAACATCACATTTAGCATCCAATCACCATTCAAAAGCTCAAAGGGCCACCAAATAGCTCAGTAGTGGATTAAAGTGCCTGCAAGCAGATGCAGGAGCCAGGGGTTCAATCCCCAGGACTACAGTGCCAGCCCCACCTCTGGGGCATGCTGAGATAGCAATTGAGACTGAGCATGGCAGCACATGCCTGTAATCCCAGCTCTTGGGAGGCTGTAAACAGGAGACTCACTATGAGTCCTATCTAGTAGTGAGACCCTGAACACCCTTGTAGACCCTTCCCTAAAAAAAAACAATAATAATAATAATAATAATAATAATAAAGCTCCACTTGAGCTGGGGATATAGCTCAGTGGCATTAAGTGCCTGCTTAACAAGCATAAGGTCCCAAGTTTGATCCCTGGTACCAAAAAAAGTTCCACCTATGGTTTCATGGGCTTTGGTACACCATTCATACAAATCATAACAGATATATTGGACTAGGGAGACAGCTCAGTGGACTAAGCGCCTGTTTAGGCAAGTGCAAGAACCCAGGTTTGATCCTTCACTGCATGCTATGCCAGCCCTGCCCTAGATCCACCCAGTGGACCACCAAAACTGGGCATGGTGGTGCACCCCTGTAGTCCCCACACTGGGGAGCTGAAATAGGAGGACAGCTATGAGTCCAAGCTGCACAGTGAGACCTTGCATGAAATACATAAATTTAAAAATATATATAACATATATAATATGTTATTATGAAAGGTCAGACAAATGAGTGTGCATGCAGTCAGTTTTAAAATGTACAGAAGCTGAGCATGGTGGCACACATGTGCAATCCCAGCACTCTGGGAAGCTGAGACAGGAAGATGAGCAGTGTGAGTCACAGGGGCAACTTTGTGATTTAGTAAACCCTGTCTCAAAATACAAATACGAAGTGGGGTGTGTGTGCAGGCCTGTAACCCCAGCACTTGGAGGCTAAGGCAGAATGATCACTGTGAGTTCCAGGCTGTCCTGGACTAGATAGTGAATTTAAGGTCAGCCTCAACTACATAGTAAGGTCCTGTCTCAAAAAGACCAAAACTTAAATAAATAAACAAACAAACAAATAAATATAAAAAAGGATTGGAGATGTAGCTTAGTATAAAGACCCTAGATTCAATTCTTAGTACTGCAAATAAAGTAAAATTTAAAGTAAAATGCAAAGGTACACTTGCCATAGATATTCTCAGGTGTTTATCTAGCAGCCATTCCCCCTTCTTCCTATAAAATAGAATCTAAAATTGTTCAAACGGTAAGCCTAGTTTCCTGGACTTCATGAAAGATAGGCCCCTGTTGCAGAATCCACAAGAAAAATCTTAACTGGTCGAAGTTAGTCATGCCTTTTGCCAGTAATTGGACTAAGTGTAAGCATGTGGCATAATTCTGGTCAATGAGATGGAAGCAAAAGTTGAGAGAAACAAAAAACCCCAAACAAAAGGTTAAAACCTGCCTGGAATGAAGATGCAATGCTGGAACTGCAGCATCCATCATGCCCCCATGAAGACAAAGGCCTACATTATCAGAATACAGAGGAATGGGCTAAGTAGGGTCCTCGAGGAGGTCGCCGAGCTGTCGCTGTTCCTTGCCTGGTCATCCTACCTCTAGACTTCTAGCAGCATGAGAAAAATAAGACTCTATTTACTCACAGCCACTATAAATTAGGTTTTTAGTTTTTTACAGCTGAGGTCCATCCTAACTGAATGCATTCTTCTGTTTTCCTTGGGACACTTAAGGGGGAGGGAGCTACTGTGACAGGCTGCTGCAGTGAAACTCAGTTCCCAGTGGATTACCCTCAATCAGAATCTCCGGTCTCCCTCACAGCACACACTTTGTTGGCTCTAAACAGCCTCACCAGACAGCAGAGGTCGTGTGCAAATCACGCCATCCCCTTCCCACCCTCAAAGTGAAAAGAAATGCCCTGCCTCTGTGAAACATTCCCTGGGGAATGCACATGTCTGAAAGGCACTGAAGTTCTGTTGTACTAGACTGTTAATGTTCTGATATTTAAAACATAACATGCAGTGCTGATCTCTGTAGTTGAAGAAAAATGCTGACCCTATTGTGTAAGGACTCATTCCACAGCTGTAACTTACTGTGCTCACACCAAAACATAAATGAAGACAGAGCATGGTGCAGGATGACTGAGATCTAAGATGTTTACACAGAAATACTAAGGCAGTGTGTGATGCTTGTTCTTGAGTTCCTATGAAAGCCAATTTAACTCTTCCGTGCATAAAAAGTAACAAATGACATATATGCATTGAGTTAGCAGAATTATAAACAAATTTAAAACATTCTTAAAAGCTAGGTATTTCCAGTGGAAGGAGGAATGATCAGATGTTTCTCTGCTCCTTATCACACACCGTGCTGCTACCTCACCATGTTGCTGACCTTTAATCTGATTTGTAACAGAAAGGCTCTTGGGGCTACTGAGCCTGTCCTATTCCATTCACAAAAAGAGAAGATTATCCATCAAAGGAGCACATTTTTCTTGGGATTTTGATGAATAAATGAGCTAAGACATGTTTCTCTTTCAAATACCAAGCTATTCAAAATACTTCCAGATAACCAAAAAGGTACAAAACAGCAAATTAAAATTCAGGTAATCCACTAAACAAAAAAGGGGATACAGATGAATGTCCATTTTGTATCTGTATATTCAAAATGGTTAGGATAGATATATAGTTACATTCTCTTAATGAATAAAGGGATTTGTTCTAATAGTGTTTGTAAATAGGATATCATGTCTGCATCTTGTACAGCAAATAACCACTAGGAAGAGAGTATGCAATGTGTTCATTATTGAAACTGTCATACCAATTTGATTTGAAACTGTCTCATTGCTATATGTCTCTCAATAAAATTATGGAAAAAAACAGGTAATCCTTGGAAATATTTTTGCATTCGGGGCAAATATGTCAAAAGTTTAGAAAGAAAGTAGAAAGGAAGGAGGGAGGGAGGGAAGAAGGTAGGGAGGAAGGGAAGGAAGGAAGGAAGGAAGGACAGCAGGGAGGAAGGGAAGGAAGGAAGGAAGGAAGGAAGGAAGGAAGGAAGGAAGGAAGGAAGGAAGGACAGCAGGGAGGAGGGAAGGAAGGTGGAAAGAAAGAAAGCAAGCCCTCGACTTGAGCAACGATCACACTGGAAGGAGAAACCCACCTTGGAGATGATTAATGGCTCTCCGCGCTCCAGGCCACCTTTCAGAGTGAAGCCCCAGGGAGCGCCTCCCTCCAGCAAGGCCTCCAGGTACAGGTAACGGGCCCCGGGGGGCGCGCGGGGCTCTGGGCGCTCTCGAGTCCTCATCTCGCCCGGGCCATGGCGCGCGCGGGTGCAGGTGCGGGGCTTCCGCGTTTCGGTTCTAGCGCTGCTCCGGGGACCAGGCAACAGCGCGGGGACGCGGTTGCAGGCTGACTTGCAGGGTCCTTCTAGCTTCGGCCCGGGCCGCTGAAGCGGAGGGGGCTCTCGCGCGGAGGTCTCCAAGTCTGCATAGTCCCCGAGCACTCTGGGTTCCTGCGGAAGCCCCCACTGGGGTCCATTTCTCTGCTTTGTAAAACCCCTCCCACGTCACTCTGGAGATGGTTTTTATCTCACACTTAGACAAGCCAACAATTTCTCTGTGATTTTAGAGAAAATTAAGTCTGTCCCAATCTCGGAAGAAAATGGCCTAAAATGGCCCAAACTCATTTCTGATTGATGATCAATCCTTTCTCCCTCCGCCAGTAAAATTTACCATGACAATAGCCGCCGCGCTCCCCAGGGGCGCGGGGAGAAAGCGCGCTGAGCCGCCAGCACAGTGGCCGAAGTGCTCCGGACGCCCTGGGCACCCAGAGCTCTTTACTTTTCTTCGGCAATTAAGCTCTCCGCTTGCTTCTTGAAAAATAACAAGTTTTTACAAGATGTAAGAAATTGTTTTTTAAAATCCTCAGTGGAAATAACAAGAAGGGACCTGAAAACGTCTTTTCTTTGGCGATTTTAGTAGTGGTCAGCCCGGTGGAGAGGAGAGGATCAGACGAAGGGCTGAGAACCAGCTTGCCACAAAGACCTGACAATCAAAGCAGCCTCGCCCGTTGATAACTCCGTGGAGGCTGAAAATAGCCCACGGATTGGCTGATTACCTACAAAGTATTGCTGGAGGAGCCCCGCCTCACCCGACTACAGCAGAACTTCATGGAGTGAGGGAGACACAGGCTGTGGTATTTTTGCAACTGAAGGCAATCCTGCTGTGTCGCAGGCCTAAGTGATCTGGGGAAAAGTGTAAGAAAGGTCAAGGTGTGGGCGAGGGCTTCATCAGAAGAAAATGCCTCATATAATGTGTGAGCGGCGGCTCACCTTGAAATAAGACACCATGGTCACTTTTCTCCTTGCTTGGCTTAATGCAAAGGCAAGGCAGGTTTTCTTCTTTCCACTTTGTTACCTACTCCAAGATGATTTGCTACCCATTCTTTAAATGAAAGAAAACACAAAGTAATGCTTTATAAGCAGTAGGCATTCAAGGTTGAATGTTGCTCTGATTTCAAGCTAGGCATTTAATTTTACAATAATAATTATGTAATATTTAACATGACTTTATATTCAAAATTTAAATAGTCCAAGAGACTTGTAGCTTTTACCCAGAAGCTTCAGCAGTTTTGTCAGAACAAATTAGAAGTACCTGCAAGGAATATGTTTACTAAAGCTTTTTTTTTTTTTTTTATTGTTTAAAAGAATGTAGTTAGCTGCGTGTCATAGTTAGCACATGCCTATAGTCTCCACTACTCAGGAGGCAGAGTGCAGCAGGAGAGCTCAACCTGGAAAATTTAAGTGTGACCCTGTCACAAAATAAAAAGTAAGCTAGGCATGGTGAGAGGCTGCGGCACAAGAATCAGCATAAGTTCCAGGCCAGCCTGGGCTGCACAGTGAGTTCAAGGCCAGCCTGGAATACACAGTGAAAACCTGTCTTAAAACAAAAGAAATTAAACTGGCATGGTGGTACACACCTGTAATCCCACACTCAGGAGCCTGAGGCAAGAGGATCCTCGTGAGTTTGAGGCCAGCCTGGATTACATAAGCAAGTTCAAGGCCAGCCTGCACTATATAAAAACTCAAAACTAGATAAATACATACATACGTACGTACGTATGTACGAATATACATAATAGGGACTGGGGATGCAGCCTCTGCACTCTCTGGATCAATTTCCAGGACCAAAAATAAAGTGATTTTTATCTTTGAGATAAGTTAAAATCTATTGTGGAGTATTTTAACAATTTGATTTTGTTTTGTGCTTGATGGAATCTGACCACCACCGTCCTGATCAGAGGCCTCTCAGTACAGTGGCACCGACAACTCACATTCTCAGCCATGCTATGGACAGCAGCCACTACTGCTGCCCTTTCCCAAGGTTGGTCCTTGGGCAGCCAGGACCACTAAGCCCTCAGAAGCCTTGTTCTTGACTCTTGATGAGGAGCCCCAAGCCCTCTCACTGAACTGCCCCTCCCTGTAACCCCCAAAAGACCCCATCCCCTACAGAGCAGCTCTGTTCAGGTTTGTTCTGCAATAAACCTGTCCCAATGAGCTTGTGCCTGTTTCTTTTCTTTTTTCCTAACAGTGCTTGTACTTAATGAAAAGTTGATCTTAGAGAAGACTGTCCATCATGTAGCAGGTAGTATTTGATTCTTACTAATAACCTCATCTGAAGGGCACAAGGCCAGAACAAGAGTAAATTCTCATTTTTTAATGTGTTATGTTAGTGGAAAAGTAAGGTGTGCCAAATGAAAGTATGTGGTAAGCACTGATCCATTCTTTCTTTTTTTTTTTTTTTCTATTTATGTATTTGGTACAGGGTCTCACTATGCAGCTCAGACTCCTCATGATCCTCCTGTTTTCAGCCTCCCCAGTGCTGGGATTACAGGTGTGCACCACCACACTGGGACTCTGTTGCTGTCTCAGCGTACCCACGGGTGGGGCCGGCATAGCATTCAGGACTGGAGATTGAACCCTGGTCAGTCCCTGAGCTTGCCAAAGCAGGTACTTAATATGCTGAGCTATCTCACCGGCACAGCACTGATGGATTCTTAAGTGGAATTTGTATAATTTGTATTGATTTTTCTAAATTAGGGTTTCCTTTTCCAGTCTAACTTAAAGAGAATAAAAGGAGAAACATTAGCTTTTCTTTACTCCATTATAAAAAGTAATGGACAA